GTGTTCCATTTAAAAAAATTAATGTGACCTTGACCTGACCTTCGCTACGCAACCCAAGGTCAAACTGATGTGATCAGTAAATACATCTTTTTAAACGCCACAACTTTTGTCTGAAACATTTTTTTGTAAAACTTATATTTTTCCTGATATTCGGGCGTCCCGGTACTTTCCGAACACCCTGTATATATATACAGGGTTGGCAAAAAGTCCGGAAACGATGAAATATCTCGAAAAGGATCAACTGTAGCGAAAAATATATAAGTAGCAACGTTGCTGGGCTTAATAAAATGTACCTAATGATGGCTATAAATTTTTTATTTTGGGTGGAGGACGAAGGTCATACGAAGGTCAAATTGAATTTTTTAAATTGGACCCCCCACTTTTTATTACATATTCTTGTAGCTTATTTTAAGAGCTTTCCAAAAACCTATAATAAAGTATTTTTTTATTAGACATATTTAGAGTTATGCGGCTTGAAAGGATCTTGGTCTTTAACTGTTTCTGTTTCGTAAAAACGTATCACTGTTTTCTGAACGGTGGATTTAGAAATAAAATTGCGATCAGGATATGCAGCATTGAATGTGTACAGTTATTTCTTCGTATTGATCTAACATGGTCTCCAAATTTTCGATAAAGAAACAGCATTATCTTTTCTTTATCGGTTAACATTTTTAAAAAAGAAATTTGAAATTGTAGTTGGAAAAAGAAAGGGAAAAGACAAAGAGTAAGATGCGAGAGAGCGACTCGTTTTTAAAATACAAAGATCGAGAAGCGTTATCGTGAAGCGCGGGTATGCGCAAGTTTTGACTGAGTACGTGTGATATTACGTCGTGAATGAATAACCGCGTTCGATGAGAGGGAATGAACAACTAGGCTGGGAGCCTAAAAAACATAAATACAGGAGAAAAACAAGAATAACTTTGTTTTTCGTGTCTCGAGCTACACGATATGACCGGCTTAGTTGTTCATTCGCTCTCATCGAACGCGGTTATTCATTCACGACGTAATATCACACGTACTAAGTCAAAACTCGCGCATACCTGCACTTCACGATAACGCTTCTCGATCTTTGAATTTTAAAAACGAGTCATGCTCTCTCGCATCTTACTCTTTGTCTTTTCCCTTTCCTTTTCCAACTACAATTTCAAATTTTTTTTTTGTCTATAAAAAAAGGTATGCCAAGGGCATTTTGTGTAAGTTATTATATAATTTTTTTACTATTATTGTATTTCTGTAATTATTTTATTTTTTATTTAAGAATATATTACTAATATATTAATAACATATTTAATTTATAAATATATTATATGATCAAAACCACATATGTTTATAAAAAAAATTAAAAAATGATTAATCATTCGCACTTGGCGAATGTAACCTCATGATATCATTTCTTTTGTAAAGAGTATATAAAACTGTCTTGTATTTTTTAATAGAGTATTTACGAAAGTACAATTGATCTGAATAAGATTGTTTTAATAATATTTTTCCAAATATCTTTTGGCTGAGTTTTTGTTATAATTTATTTATAATGATTTTTTTGTAAAGTTTATTTATAACGATTTTTTTTTTGTAAAATTGATTTATAATGTTTTTTTGTGAAGTTCATTTATAACGATTTTTTTGTAAAGTTTAATGCTAACGCGCGTTGCACTTGGCTTTTTTTTACTTTTTTTGTGAAATATAGATAACTTTGAGACGCCGTAAGTCCGTAACCGCGGAAGAAAGTCGTGCAGACTTCATTTTTATCCTTTTTTTATTTGCAAGAAAACAATATTTCATGAAATTTACGAAAAAACTTATTTCATGCCGTAAGATATGTTAAATTGTGCGATTTTTTTGAGACGCAACACGTTTATTTTTGAAAATACTGCGGAAAGGAGGGAGAATAAATTTAACATCCTCCTTAAAATGTAGTTTCCACTCTTGAAAATAAAAAAAAATTAGAAGACTTTTAATAATAAAAACCAAAAAATAATAATAATAATGAGATGCTATACATTATCTCTTTAAACCAGAGATGCGACGCTTGGATCGCTTGGTAGCATGTGCCATAGGTAGCTTACCAAGTAGTACCAAGCGACCCAAGCATCGCATCTGCCTCTTTTTAAAATTGCAAAGAAAAGTCTGTACTTTATGGTTATATACTGATAGTTATCATGAAATTTACGAAGAAAAAATTTATTCCATTCCGTAGGATATGTCAAATTGTAAAATGTTTTGTCCATTACCATTGACATCAGAATATGCGGCAATATTACTGAAATGTTTATAGCATCAGATGATTTTTTTTCATATGCCGGCAAAATTCATTCTTTGTAAAGATCTTAATATCTCAATATTACATGCAGACGCATCTTAACGACCTTATGACGAAATATGTCTGTTATGCCCAATATGTCTCGTCCGGATAGAAGCACTATGTAGTAGTCCCCTGTTCACGTCCTGACAACAGTTTTCAAAAAACCGTCAAAGAAAAAAGCCAGCGCAAGCGTCCCAGCGTCGCCTGCGCCGCCGTGCGTCACGTGCGCACGCTGCGTCTTCATTGTGTTCTGTTCGTTAGTCCAGACAACACGTTTGTGCCGGAACTTCTATAGTGTACTGTTTTTTAGTTGTGGTTTGCTAGTTCTGTGAGTTATGCCGAAACACAAGAAGAGCTCTTCAGCGAGACATGCGAGAGAAGATAAATCTTCTCATAGATACTATTCTCGAAAGGGAAAATCGCGTGTTCGTTCGCGTTCGAGAGAAACATCGCGTATCCGCTCTTCAGATAGGAGGGTTGAGCCAAGAGATGTTTCCTCTCGCCGATCGGAATCTCGAGAAAGCCTTAGAGATATCCTGGAGCGGATTCGTAGGCTTATTTCAGATCGAGACGTCGGACATAACCTACAACCGCAAAATCAGCCTCAAGAGGTTAGACGGCCGGCGGAGGTTTTTTCGGACTCAGAAGAATTTCAAGCGGCGATTTCTGTGGCTACGCCACTTGCCTTAGAGCAAAGCTCTGAAGAACAGACGGTCGCACAGGCGGACCGGGGCTCTGTACCAGGTATGTCCTCTTGTTGACCCAGTTGATTGGCTTATTCCTGGCAAAGAGAGGACATAACCGACGTGTTCTTCTGCTTTAACTCCTTCTAGCTACACTACCAGATGTTGAGATCGAAAACGATGACCTTCAGCCTGCTAGTAGTGTGTTTTTTGCCGACCCGCTTACTCATGAGGTTCAGAATCTTCAGGATCCTGGCTCTGTACCAGAGGCGATGGTCAGCGATTTGTTTGGGAGTGCTGAACCACCTTCTACATCTCCCATCTGGAATGCTACCGTTCTGAATTCTATCCAGACGGAGTCCAGAAGTGGGCTAAATGCCGACGTTCGTTCTAGCTTATTGGCTAGGCACGAAATAAAGGGAGATCTTGCGACGCTGGTGCCACCAAAACTTAATAAGGAACTCGTTCCTGCTCTAACTCCCTCCATTATTAAGAGGGATGCATATCAGTTGCTCTTGCAAACACAACTGTGTGCCTGTCTTAATGCTTTTGGCTCGGGCATATCTGTTTTATTAAAGCCGACTGTTTTGCAAAGCCTAGACGACGAAGCAAAGTCGGTTCTGAAGTTGTTTGCAGAAGGGATTCATTTACTCTCCGACCTCCAGTATCGCCTTTCACTGACCAGAAGAGCCTTCACTAAGCCTTCCCTGAACATCCTCGGTAAGAATGCAGCAGAGATGGCTCCGATTGACGATTTTTTATTTGGACAGAATTTCGCGGAAACCCTTAAGGCAGCACAGGCTTGCGAAAGGACTGGCCGTGAATTATCAAGGTTAACAGCACCCTATGGTTAAACGTTTCTGCAAAGGGGTCGCAGCCCTCAAACCGCCTCGTCCGAGATATGATTATGTTTGGGATCCGGCTCCTGTAATCGCCAAGCTCTCTTCTATTTATCCGTATGATTCAGTAGATTTAAAAACTATTACTAGGAAACTCGTTATTCTTCTTGCCCTCGGGACGGGTCATCGCGCTCAGACTCTCTCCTTAATGAGAATTTCGCACATTTCATTAAGCGAGAAATTATTAATACGAATTCCAGATCGTATTAAAACATCGGCGCCAGGTCGAGCTCAACCTTTTTTCTGTTTCTCTCGCTTTGTGGAACATGAGAGTCTTTGCATCGTCCGTCTTATGGAGATCTACATAGAGAGAACTAGAAAACTGCGACCTAGCACATGTGATTTTTTGTTTATCGCTTTTAATAAACCGTATAAAGCCGTTTCAGCACAGACGGTAGGTCGCTGGATCAGGCAA